TTATACATACGTAAGTTTTTATGCAGCAACAAGCGGTGTGTCACCCATAGTTTTGTTTAATTTTTTATATACACACAATCCGTCTCCGTTAATTTTCAATGTTTATGTTAACATCCCAAAATTTGGATGTTTATTAAGTTAAAAAAATAGATGGAATGAGTTGAAAATGTGTAACTGTTGTCCAAAAATGATTAAGTGTCAACTTTGAGACCATGAATTCTATCCTTAGAGGCAAGATAAGGAGAAAGGGCAAGAATGTAAATTGTAATGGACAAGAAAATTGTAATGCCCGTGTTTCTAGGCTAGGCATTTATATTGACATTATAGTCTAGGTAACCTTTGTAACTCATTTTGAAGAAATGAAAAGGAATTATGTGAATATTATGTGAATTGAATGTGTTTTATGCTTAATTATTAGGGCTTAATTAATTAAGAATAAAAATGACGTCAAAATTAAATTTTAGATAAAGCCGATATCTATTAAGAAACTTGTAGTGGGGCGTGACAAGGATTACGGATATATAAAGAATGCCGAAATCCGAGTTATAACGAAGAAGTTATGACTGTCGAAGTTTCGTTTCGACGACAAACCGGCACGGGGCCGAATGTCGTAAAAGTGAGTTTTTGATAAACTACTTTTGGCCTTAGTGATCTAAACTAAACTTGTAGTGTTCGTTAAACCGAGGTAGGTTATAAAAAGAACGCCCAAATCTGACTTCTTATGAGGAAGTTATGATTTCGAAGAAGTTTCAGCTTAGCAGTAGACAGCTAAAAACTCGAATTTAGATCGAATGATTTTTAGCCGACACGACCTAAACGAGAATCGAAGTCTGTCATTAGTAGCACAACGGTAAAAAGTCTGACGAAAACGGACGTCGGATGAAGAAGTTATGAATTTTTAATGGATTTCCTGTCCGGTCTGTTATGTTAAAAAATAATATATAAAAATTTAAAGTGAAAATTAGCGACGAAGTCTAAACGAAAGTTGTAGAGCGTTAATTTTACCTACGCGTGATATAAAGAACGTCAAAAACGGAGCTCGTATGCGAAAGTTATGGATTTAGAAGTTTTGGCGGAAAATCGAGAAAATTCGCATAGTCACGGTTTTTGCCACGTCACCTTCGCTGAAAGAGTGCCACGTGTCCGAAATGGGTGAGTCATGCGAAGCCACGTGTCACCTTCCCTCGCATGAACAGTAGCTGCATGTCGGATTCTGATTCGACCGAAGGGAGGCCCAATCCGAAGCTCGCAGCTGGACCGAGCCTCGCACCACCTTAGCCTCCGAGCCTCGCCAGATGGACCACTAGACCTCGGTCCAATCAGCAGCTGCCACCGAGGCCTTCGCACGTGCAGCTACCTGTGCACCCTCGCCTGCGGACCCCACCACTAGACCGACTTCAGACCCTATAAATAAAAGGGTCATGTGAACCCTCCCCGGTTACTTTTGAGGATTTTGCCATATTTAGCCCCTCCTTTCTCTATTTTCTTCATCTTAGAATCCCCCAAGCCCCCCGGTATCAATTATAAGCCCAGAATACGCCACGAGAGCCCGTAAAGCCCGGAAAATTTATCTTTTCGGTTTCGAAGCCGGACCCTCGCAGAGCCGAGTTCTGAATAAAAACTCCCAGTTTTATTAGAAACGAACGTTTTAGGAAACGAATTGTTGCCCGATTTTCATCAAAACAAGTGAGTGTATAGTCACTTTCATTTTACACATAGATATAAAGTATTTACCTTATAATACGTGCTATGTGTAAATATATTAATTGTTTATTTGAGGTGACTGTTGAGTTGATGTTTTATACAAGTTTTAAGCTGTATATGTATTTTTATCTACAAATATGTTGGGTAGAACATGGGTAGATAGTTGGTGTGTGATGAAATAAAGTGATGAGAGGCCTCGTTGTGATTTGTGATTCAGTCATCTAGCGGAGTTTGGATGACGACCACGAACTTTCTAGACAGTCCAGTGGGAAGCACCAGCAGGCCCGCAAACCTGTAGGTGTTAATGAACTTGGGTGTTTATTCGCTTGTACTCCAATCCCCTCATGGTTGCCTTTAGGACATGTATGGCTGAGGAAACCCCTTAGCAGTAGTGTCCATCCCGATGATATTCTTTAGGCTAGGTCCCTTTGAAACTGAAAAGTGTTTAGGGACATAAGTGAGGATAACGGGAACGGGTAATCAGGGTTATTATTGATTGATGAACTTAATAAGTTTATTATTATTGTGGGTTAAAAACCCTATATGCTCACCAGGCTCCCAAGCCTGACCTACTCAGTTTTTTTTTTATGATTACAGGTAGTGGACCCCGAACATAGTCGGAGGATGACGTGAGATTTTTGGATTATAGGCCAGTAGTTGTAAATAACTGTAGTAAGGCTTATAATGTCTTGTTTATGCTTTTGATCTGTATCGGAACATGACATCCCGAGGTTTTAATATATATGGAAAATATATACCTTCTTAATGAAGGGTTTTGATAAACTTTATCATATGTTGTTTGGGGACCAATTCCGCAACATCTTTTGAAAAGATTTCTCTGATTTTATTTTAAAAAGCATAAATTAAATCGGTCTTTTCCGGCCGAGAAATTAGGGGATGTCACAAAAATGGAGCAAGATCAAAATGAATCGAAGTCAAAAAGAGTTTGTATGAGAAAGCTACAAGACGAAAATTTCATGAAATGATGAAAGGCATCAACTTTGAAGACTTATATGTCAAATTGTAAATCGATTTAGAGGAACCACTATAAGATGACATATTTATTATATCCAATAAAGAAAACGTAGAAAACAAAAGAATCAGGTTTTTTGGAGTTAAGACACAAAGTTATGACCAAATGAAAATGGCTAAAAAACGGCAAGAATGGGTAAACACCTAAGTTCTCTAGCTAATAACTCGAAATGAAGACATATTTAGCATTATGGAGAAGTTGTAAAGCTCCTTCCCATGTTTCCACATATGTAAATTTTGTTGAAATCTAATATCGTATGAAAAAATTATTGTTGTCACAACATAGGTCGAAAATGGAAGGGAAAAACATGAAAAGTAGCCCAAGTGTTGGGCGGCAACACACATGGCCATTGTTTAGGCGAGTGACAGCGTGTGCAAGCTCCTTCAGGAGATGAATTTTTGACACATATTAAAAGACACATAAAAGTATATGTGGTAAAAAAAACTTAGGGCAATCAGAATTTGTTTGACCTATATGTTGACCACAATTACATCAGTAACATTAATTTTTACATCAAATGCTCTCAACTTCTCTTAAGCAACTAGAACACTCTCCCTACTTACCTTCATCATATTTGAAGAAATTTATGAAGAATTAGCAAGAATAAGTTGAGAATTTTCACATGCAATTGAGGATTTATGATCATTAAGCTTAAGGAAACAAGGTACTACTTATTTATGGATTCTTACAATTTTATGGAAATCCTTGTGAACCCTAAGTTCATCAAGGTTCATACATGTTGAAATTGACATGTGATAGTTACTTCATGATAATGATTAACATGTTACTAAGACATATTAACATGTTTTAAGTGAAGTATCATTGTTGCATGTTCATGGTATAAGTTTTCAATGCACAATCTTTGAAGTTTAACAAGGGTAGTCTTAAAATATCGAATCTTGAATTATAATCATGTGCTAACTAGCACGTTTTTTAAAATTACTAAATTAATGATAAGAGTAACATGTTATTGATGGAAATCAATAGGCTCTAAGTATAAAAATAAAGAAATTAACCGATAGTTTGTACAAAAAAAGGGGTAAAAATAGAAAAGGGTTGCATTGGATCATGCATTGCATACATGTTGCATAACTAATATTTGAATGATTTCGAAATCAAAGTAAAGAGTTATAAAAAGTTATTGAAAGTGTTTTTGTGTCCAAACCGTGATATGTTTTTTTCTTACATAGTTTTCTTTAATGTCATGTATATCATATATCTCATGTAACTAGGTATGAATACTACTTGAAATATTTTTTTTTTTGGAAAGGGAACTTCCCTAACGAGGGTTTCCGGGCCAGCTTTCGCGCACCGACTAATCCTCCGTTGCAAACATGAGGCTTTGCCTCATGCCCTGGAGTCACTGCAGGCGAACCTCCATGACCACAAGGGCTGAGTGGTGTCAGGATTTGAAGTATTTTTGAAGTTAGACGGATGGATCTTTTGTTTATCATTGGTATTAATGTTGTAACACCCAAATATGTATTGTAAACAAGGATTTTTGTGGGAACATATTCTGTAAAACTTGAGATTATGTCAAGAAATATGTTAAAAATCATAGCATTTTAGTGGGATGTTACACTAGACAACCTATTTAGTCGATGTTAAGACTATATTTAACGCATCACATCTAGCTTATAAAATAGTTTATTTTTGAACTTATTCAGGTGATCATATTTGACTAACAAAAATATAGCTTATAGGTTAGTTTTTTTTTTTTTTAATAAAACTACTCATACGAGTATTTCAAAAGCTTATTGATTTTTTTTATATTCTTCTAAATATAAACTTTGTTGATTATAAAAAGTCAATCTTCTACACGTTTTTTTATGTAATTTTATATATTTTAGTTAGCTTATAAGCTAGTTTTATCAAATGTTAATTTTTATCAACTAGCCAAACAAAATACTAAACGTATAAGGACCTATCTGGTCCATTTTCATTATTTATACAAATTAATAAAAATCTCTTTTTGTTCAATTTCATTATTATCTAAAAGGGTTAATGGCGTATTTAAGCAAAGAACTTACACGTCTTTTCCAAACTACGTACAAAAATGGTTTCCTAACAATTCAATTGATGCAATCATATATCATTTTGTTATCAAATAGTTTACAAATTGATAAATTTGTAAGAAATCAAAATATAGCTCCACAAATTAATAAGAAATCCATCTTTCTATATAAATTAATAAAAACGTATAAATAAATAATTGAGATAAACAAAAGAAATTATACTAGTTATATATAATAACAAATAGTTTCCAACACGAATCATTTCAGAAAAAACCCATTATTACTCAAAAACTCAAAAGTCCCCCAAGGGTTTTATACACATTTTTTGCACACAAAAGAAAGACACACACACACACCAAAATTACAAGAAAAATAATAATGTACAAAATCCTTTGAATTTGGGATTTTTTTTTTCTCTTCAAAGTCTTGTGAACATTAAGAATGCAATAGAAAAAAACAGAAAAAGAGCAATGTTAAAAGTTAAAACTCACTCATTCTTTCTTTGTTTCAAGCTCATTTTTCATCTTCTACAAGTTGCACATCGTATCAACTATCATCGTTTCATTTCTGCAATAAATCAATATTTCAAACAAATGAAATTATTGTATTATATGTTTAAATAAAATGTAATATACATTATTTGAATTATGATTAATAAAGTTTAATTTAGAATAAAAAATAAAAAGATAAAACATAATAAAAGCTCTTTCTTGCATTTAGCCCCTTAATTAAAATAATAAACTTTTAAAAAGAAAACATTTTTGTTGTTAAACTTTACATAAATGGAAGGAATCACATTCCTATCGGAATAGTCCATTCCATTCCATTGTTTCAAAACAAACACGTTTTTCTAATTCAAACAGAACGAACCATTCCATTCCTTCGCCAATTCCATCATACCAAACACTATTTCATTGGATGGAATGGAATCGACATAAACAAGGGAATGGAATCAGTCATTCCATTCCATCGAAATCCAAAAGAATCACATTCCTATAGGAATAGTCCATTCCATCGTTTCAAAACAAATACGTTTTTCCAAATCAAACAAAACAAACCATTCCATTCCTTCGCCAATTCCCTCATACCAAACACTATTTCATTGGATGGAATGGAATCGCCACAAACACGGGAATGGAATCAGCCATTCCATTCCATCGAAATCCAAAAGTGACAACATAACATAGTACATTATTAGTACATACCTCATCACTATTCATTACCACCGATCTCTTTCCTCCCACCATCACCAACATCACTTTCACTAGCAGTCTCCCACTCCGAATCATCACTCCCATACCCATCCCCACCACCACCACCACCGCCACCACCACCCTCCTCACAATCAATCCCGCCATGTTTCACCGCCGCCTCCCTAAACAACCACGCGGCCTTCATCTGCTTCTTCACCAACCGCTCCGCATAATCCGGGACCTTATTCTGCCTACAATTCAAATCCGGATCCATCGAATTCGAACACTCATTTATAAACAAAATCGCATCCAACAAACTCTCCTTCGCCAACCCAATCATATCATACGCCTGGGCCCGCCTCCACAAACTTTTCGCGTGTCTATTCACCGGATTATGCAAACAAAGGGCCCGCGTGGCATCACTAATGGCAGTCAAAGGTTGTTGCAACAAAAGGTAGCATTGGGCGCGATTACTGTATAAAACAACTCTTTCTTTTTTGGATCTTACGGGGCATAAGGAGAGGGCTTCTGAGTATTTTAAGGCGGCGGCTTGGATGTTTCCGGAAGAAAAGAGGGAGTTGCCTTCGAGTTTGACGACTAAGGCGGCGGCTTGTTTGATGTGGAGGTCTTCTTTTGGCATGGATTTTTCCCATTTGAAACGTTCGCGAGAATCGAGGAGGGATTCGATGTCTTCTTGGGTTCGGTTGCTGATGGAATTGCGGTTTCCGGTGGAATTGATGGATTCTTGGAGGACGTTGAGGATGGAATCGCCGAGTTTTTTGTGGTCCCCGAGGGTTTGGATTTCTGCTAGGTCCAGAACTGCTGGTGCTGCCTTTTCGATCACCTGTAAGGAATGGAATGTTGTGAGGTTTTGGATTGAGGATGGGATTGGAATTCATGATTCCATTCCAGGGTGTGTGTGTGGGTTTGGTTGTTGAATGGATGGAATTCAATTCTGTCATCATCATCTTTTAATGAAAAAGACCTTATATTTTTTCATTGTTTCCGAAAAGACCCTCAACTTTGTCTTCTTTCTTTTTTTTTTTTGGGGGGGGGACCCTCAACCTTCTAAATGTTTACAAAGAAATCCTCAACTTTTTTAGTTTTTTCTGAAAAACCCCCCTCACATTTTACAGCTTTTTTTAGAGAAAAAAGACTAAAGGGGCTAGATCGGAAAAAATGAAAAAATGCAAGGTCTTTTTTAATGAAAAAAATAAAGTTGAGGTTTGATCTGGAAAAAAACACAAAATATAAGGTCTTTTATGAGATTAAGCCTAAATATATTGAAATAAACAAAAATAAAAATCAGTTTTATATATATATAGATATTATATATATATATATATATATATATATATATATATATTATATATATAGTACTAAAACATGGTTAGAATATAAACAAAAGGGAAAATTACAGGTAACGAAAAAACTTTAAATTTTGGGCGATTTTGCGGTTTTATTGCTTATACATTATCTTTTTCCAATCAAACCATAAAAGTTTCAGAATTTTTTTCTTCCGAATTTACCATTTTGACCTGATATAACATTTCAAAATGGTTAATGTGGAAAACTAGCACCTGATATAACAAATTTAGCTATGAAAAACCTGATATGATATAACAGGTCAAAATGGTTAATTTGGAAAATGAATGAAACTTTTATCTTGTTAAGTTTATTAGATATTACCTTATGGAAGGTATTAGGATCTTGGAGCAACCATAAAAGACAATCAATCGCCATATATTGCCAGTCATCTGAAGAGCGTGCAATATTACATAATGACTCAATTACCCCTGGGCAGCTGCTAACAGGTCCTCTTCCAAATTTATGATGACAAATTGTTCTCAATAACCCAATACCTGCTGGTGAATTTTCATTCACAAGTCCACCCCACATTCCAGGAAGTTTCACAAGAAACTCAGGTTTGCATATTATAGAAAGAAACTCAGGCTTAAAAGCAAAACAATTTATAAGTTGAAGAGACCAACATTGTAATTGACTAGCCCATTCCTCAGCTTTCCTTGATTCCATCTCTACACCACCCATGCCACGTGTCAAAAGATCACAATGGTAACTAAGTCTTCTGTCAGCATACTGATAAAAGTGAGAGTAAACAATCTCAAGTGAACTCATTGCTAATTGTATACAAAGTTCAAGAATCTCTCCATGACTTGAAACAGCAGGGAAAGTGCTTGCATATGTAGCTAAATGTCCTAAAGCTCTTACAGCAACTCTTTGTTCAACCCAAGTTAATCTACCCCTTAAGAGTTCAACCAAAGGTGGGATTACCCCTGCATTGACTGCAGTTTCTGCAAAATCTTCCATGTTCATGGTGTATGATCCGATTATATGTGCAGCATAATAAGGGATGTAGATGTTTTGATCATGAGATAGCCATCTGCGATTCTTTAAGCCTTTCCAAATGAGAGCTGACATGCATTCAAAGATACCTAATTCTATGAACTCTGGATCATTAGGATGTGCCATGGCTGTGTTCCAAAGGCCACTTATGGGGAGAACTTGACCATCATCATCTTGTGAAGGAAGCTCTCTGAAAAATTTCATGATGCTGGCTCTTCGTTTGTTTGGGTTTCCTTCTTTCATGACACAGAAAAAGCATCCGGGGTATGGGCAATCTGGGATATGTTTTTCCATGCTTATTGACTTGAATTGATTACTCAGAATTCTATTACCATGAAGTTACTTTCTAGTTTCTCATAAACCACCAAATGTACACTGCATTACAAAGAGGTATAATCATATGAGCTTATGATCATATCATGAACTATAAGTAGGACACAACTTCTCTTCCATGGGTACTCATACAATAGAAAAGTGTCTTTTACTTCCATATGAACAGATAGGTAATAAACTGAAACCATACAGTGATACAGAACATGATAGATGGATATATTCTAAGCAGTATATCAAAGTAAAAGCAAACCATCTAAGCTTTGCAAATGCCATCAAAACACATCTGCATAGTTTCAGATCCAAATGATGAACTTTAGGGTTGAAAAGTTCAAAAAGAAGATAATTTAACAAATGGTGAACTTTCATGTTGATTTCCCCCAAAAACCGTGCTAAATCAACGTTTGCAATTAGAAAAAAATGTCACAAATCTAGAATGACAAAAGACAAGGAAAAATCAATCAACTAAGGAAAATCCATAATGACAATGGAACAATGAATTTTAACAGGCTTCAACACCTATTAAAAGCTAACCTAAACGCAGAGAAAAAAGTGTTAGCTTTTAAATTATGCTTCAGCTCTAAAACAAACAATTCAGTAAGTTCACATTGCAAAAGCAATTACTGAGTACGTGATGTTACCAAGAAATGTAAAAAGAGATCGAAGAGCATAGGAACCGACATCAGGATAGTAACATCAGTACCATCAGTAGACGTTCACTGCCTTGCCTGAGTTGTCACACGGCTGCAGAATTGACGGCGGTTAGTAGTCGCCGATCTCGGTGGAGCAAGAGCGCCTGATTCACTGAAAATGAGTATGGAGAGAGAAGGTGCGATTTTGGGGAATTGCAGACAACCCTGGGGTTTTTACCGATGCGAGGGGTTCTTTCAAAAAAGCAACGAGCAAAAGCAATTTTAGGACCAAATAAGTACGTTTTTTTTTCTCTATAAATATTTGAGAAGTTATTAGGTGGTTGTTGGAATAATGATAATTCTTTAAATTTGGAAAGAAATAAACTATTAATTAATGTTATTAAATGACAATTTTATATTTATATTTAAAGATGTGACTAATCATAGAAATGTCCATTTAATAAACATGAATTGACTACCTTTGATCTTGTAATAAAAAAATCGGGTTGATCTCATTTTGCTTCTTCCCTAACCGTATTTTGATTATATTCTAATGATGTTTTGAAAATATTTTGAGTTTGATTTTGGGTTTGGAGGATCGCTCATATCCAAAGCCATGGACTAGTTAACCTCCAGACTACTTGAAGTACCCATTTTCTATACTTTCATATTTCTGAAAGATCCAAACTTTCATACTTGGCAATATAGTTACTCCAAAACATGCTACATGCATATTCATAAAACAATATTTTTACATTGATAAAGTCATTACAAAAGATTGGATACAAACCGACTATGTTTTGAGATTTTACATGACTACCCAGGATATTGTAAATCTATACAAACCTAAACCAAAATACAAAAATAATATTACAACTATTCTAAGTCTTCCAACTATACTAGGTGCTTATTGTCTGCATTATGTTAAAACATTAGGAGGGGTAAGCGATAACGCTTAGTGAGTTCAATAATAGATACAATATAACGTTATGCCATATATATACCAATATGGCAGAAGCAAATAGGAGCAAGGAAAAACAAAGGCATAATGTGATAAGCTTTCCATATCAATCAATGACTCGATTCAAAGATATACAATCAATGAGATATAACAATTTCCATACTTGGTAAACATCAATAACGCTTCGGCCCAAATGGCACTGAAGACAAACAATTTCTGATTAACATTAAGGTAGATTTCAGGTTTTCACGCCCTGTCTAACCATATGCCAATGCCATAGAATAGAGTCATTCACTTACTGGGGGACATGCTCTACATGGCCAGAGGCTACATACCAGTACCACTGTGAATCTGAGTTCTTAAACTGATCACATGGTCAAAGGTATAGCTTTGCTATCATAAATAGCAGAAATAAAAATAACACGGGAAAATATTCAGGAATAACATTCTACCGAAGCCAAAGTGATGCCTATGTCATACACTTCATGGTCAACGGTTAATACCAATACCCAAGTGATGCCTATGTCATACACTTCAAGTCAGAGGTACAGCCTTGCTATAAAAATAGCGGATACAACAACTCGAGATGATAACATGGAAAAGCACATAGCACATATAACACATAACATACAATTGTTTCTACATATTAAACTCACCGTGAATTAACCGGGGGTCAAAATAATAATTTGGGCAGCACTTCGGCTCTAAATATGACTTTCGTCGTTGAAAACCGGGCTCTGCGAAGGTAGAGCTTAGAAACCGAAAAATAAATTTTCGGGCTTCTCGGGAATCTCGGGGCACGTTTCGGGATTTGGAATAAGTACTGGGGCTTCGGGGGATGCCGGGATAGTAAAAATATTGAAAAAGGGTGAAAAAAGTGTGAAATTTCCAAAGTTAGCCGGGAAGTCTCGCAGGTACTATTTATAGTAGCGAGGTCCGGAGCTTCGGCCGAAGGAAGAAGGACACGCGGCCAGCTGGAGCGAGGCTCGGATCCGGAGGAGTCGTCTGCGAAGGCGAGTCAGCAGCCACGCGTCAGAAGGAGAAGCGAGAAGCGTGGCCGCCTCGGATGCGTTATCGGACCAGGAGAGGACCGGACTTCGGTCCAATTAGGAGGCGCCTATGACGACTTCGGACAATCATCGGGTGACACGCGTACTGCGGTCCAATCAGCAGCGAACACGTGTCCGACACGTGGAACCCTCGCATGCGAAGGGTGACGTGGCAGTACTATTCATGCGATTTTTCTCGAAAATTGTGTCATATCTTGTAAAATCCATAACTTTCTCATACGAGCTCCGTTTTTGTCGTTCTTTATATGCACGCGTAGAGAAAATTATGCTCTACAACTTTCGTTTAGACTTCGTGGGAAAATTTTGAATTTATTTTTATATTATTATTTTTAACAGACCGGGACTGGTAAATCCGTTAAAAATTCATAACTTCTTCATCCGACGTCCGTTTTCGTCAGATTTTTTACCGTTGTACTACTAATAACGAGACCTTCGATTCTCGTTTAGGTTGTGTCGGCTAAAAATCACTCGATCAAAAATTCGAGTTTTTAGCTGTCTACTGCTAAGCTGAAACTTGTAAAAATCATAACTTCCTCATACGAAGTCAGATTTTGGCGTTCTTTTTATCAAAATTCTCGGTTTAACGAATACTACGCCTTTCATTTAGATCACTAAGGCTAAAAAGTAGTTTATCAAAAACTCACTTTTTACGTCATTCGACACCGTGCCGGTTTTATTGCGGATCTTCGATTGATCATAACTTCTTCGTTATAACTCGGATTTCGACGAGGTTTTCGCCTACGTGTTTCTAACGAGATTATCTACAACTTTCAATAATAAAATTTTACTTATTTCAAATTTTATATTTTCGCTAAATTTCACTATTTGACTTTTAATTGGAATCTCATAAGACTTCCAATATTTTATGAGTGATTCTAAACATAGTTTTACTTCATTTCTAGTAAAAACTATCTGTTAGAACTTAACACTCAATTTCTCATAATATTCATAATATTATTAACTTTTTAATTACATAACACGATTTCAAAACGTGTATGTTACAAATACCTCCTCCTTTTGAGGATTTCGTCCCCGAAATCACAACGATTTGGACAAATGAGGATATTTCGCTCTTATCTCATTCTTATTTTCCCTAAGTATAAGTTTATTATCCCGTTCCACCTTGGATAATGGTACCGTTTCATCATATATGCTCAAGCATTTACGTAGATATCTTACATGAAATACATCATGAATACCTGCCAAATCTTCAGGCAATTCCAAGCGGTATGATTGTTAGATAATTTTGAAAAGTCCAATAAATCTTGGACTCAATCTCCTTTTCTTCTCAAATTTCATAATACCTTTCCACGGGGTTACCTTCAGTATCACCCACTTGGAATTCTATGGATCGTCTCCTCCATTTCTACACAGGTCTTTTGTCGATCCTGGGCTACTTTCATTCTTTCTCGTATAATTTGAATCTTATCAGTGGTGTCTTGAATCATTTCAGGACCACCAAGGATTTTATATCCTACATTATGCCAACATAATGGTGTTCACAGATACTACCGAACTCTAAGACATATGCACGAAGCATATCTTCTACTGCTTGGATTGTTCTCTCCGTCTAATCATCTGTCTGGGGATGATAAGTTGTGTTGGGAGTAACTCGAGATCCCAATTCACTCTTCATACTCGCCCAAAAGTGAGAAGTGAAGCGAGTATCACGATCGGAAATAATCTTTAGTGGCACACCATGTCTCGCCACAATTTCGTCTAAGTAAACTTGTGCGTATTTCTTCATTAGAACCGTTGTACGTATGGCGAGAAAATATGCACCCTTAATCAGCCGATCGATAATTATCCAAAGGCTATCATTCACAGTTTTCTTATCCTCTTTCAAGGTATTAACTGTATAAGCCGGATAAGTAGAATATCCCTTCGACATAAATTTACGAGTTTTTAAGAAAGAAATTTATTATTTTCACCATAAACCTAAATAGAATCTTCCCTTTCGATAGGGATGCATATCATCTCTTCGTAGCACAAGAGATCTGCGTAGTTCTTTAACAACCAATCCATGTCGAGAATAATATCAAAGATAGGAATTAGGTTAGCAGGAAGATTATAACTTTCAATTCCTATAACACTATCTCTATAGACTTTATCAGCAAGTAATAATATATTTCCTATGTTATCTATATGAAATGATTGGACAATTACGTAGCAAGCAATTTGAAAAGAATGTGCGAATTTATAATGCATGAAAGAATTTGAGGCATCATAATCAAATAAGATATGAGAAGA